CTCTCTCCCTTTTTTTTATCCGCGTCTCACTCGCACCAAGGCCGTTTCGTGCCGTTGGCATTATTCATCCGCCCTCTAGGAAAGCACGAAAGGAGACAGGCACAAGGACCGACGACAGCATTGGGCGCAGCTTCACCTCTGTCCGGCGCTGAAGCGAAACAAGACGAAGAAGAAGAAAAAAAAAAAACAAGCAGCGGCAAGAAGACAATAATAAAAAAAAAAGACGAAAAAATGTTTGTCTTTTCAGCAACAACTAAACTACGATATCCACGACGCAGAAACGGATCCCGCGGCTGCACGACCGCCGCTTGTCATTCTCAGAAGGACCGACGTCTAGAGTCGTCCACTTCACGCCAGCCTCATAAAGAGCCTGCTTTTGGCCTTTGTTTCATTGCAGTTGTCCGCTGCGGGGTCCTGGTGGGTCCCCTCGCGCAAATTCGTGCCGGTGGTGAGGGGGCACGGTTCGCCATCCTCCTTTTGCGCCCACTTCAGCGCTTGCTGAGACAACACTTCCCGGAGACTGGTCGGCTGCGACAGCCCCGTGTCTGCAGCACCTGCGTCGGTCGAGGCGTCCGTGTCACGCAGCACGGTGTAGCGGTAGCTGATGTTGCTGTCGGGGTCCCGCACGAGCGTTGTGGCGCGTTGGGGCTCGGGCGCCACTGACGCGCAGGCGCACATCTCAATCTCCCTGAGACTCTCGCTCACGTCGGTCGAAAAGAGGCAACTCAGCCGTTGTGATTCATGCGGGGCAGTCACAAGCTCTTTGAGCCGCTCCAGAGCCCTGGCCTGCGCCTCCTCCGCGGTCACCACAGTATCCAGTTGTTGGAGTATGCGTATCTCCCGCAGCTCATTCAGCTGTCGCTCAAACTCATCCATCGACATTGACGTTCGTGGCAGCGACGCCGGCAGTTTGTGTTCCTTTTCCCTTTCCCCTTTTACTTGTGTGTGTGTGTGTGGATAGACCACCAAGCAACTTCAGCGGGTCAGCCGCGGCCTCGTCGCGCGCAAGCGGCCCAAGGAGCGAGAGTGAGCGGGGAGTTCATGCCTGTCGTCTTTCGAGGCAAACACACACGGCAGAGGGGTGGGAGCCGCCGCGACAAGGGCCGTTGCCACGCCACACGCGCCCGCCGTCCCCATCGTGTGCAGGCATGCGTAGTTACTTGCATTGACTGGGGAACCAGTAGTAGTAGAAAAAAAAAGGGTGGGAGGGGGGGGGCACAACGAAGCGCATCGCATCGGAGAGGAGGAAAGACAAAAAAAAAAGAGAGGGCAAAATAAAATAAACAAACAAGAAACAAAAGAAAGGCAGAGAAGGCAAACACACTAGAGCACTTCCGCCCTTCTTGCTCGTCCCTTCGTTTCTCCTTCCCACTTCAACGCGCCCCATTATTCCGCCTTTTTTCCCTCTTCCGCCCTCCTGTCCCTTGCGGCGAGGAGCAAGGCAACTTCTACAGAGTTCGCTTTGACGGCTGCTGCTGCTGCTGCTGCGGCGGCGGCGGCGGGGGCAAGGGCTTCCGGCGCGGCCCCTGCGTTGATGTGGGCGGCGACGGAGTTGCGCCGGTGACTAGAGGCGCCGGCTGCACCACGCCCTTCTGACGCCATCGCGGCGGCGGCGGCGGCGGCAGCGGCTGCGGGGGACCGCTGGTTCCCCTCGCCGCGGAGGAAGCTGCGGTGCTGCCTTCGCTGCTGCCTGGCGCCGCCGCCGCGATGGCGGGTTGAACGCAGCGAAGGTCGTACTGCTGCCACGCCTCCCGCAGCCTCGCGTCGAGGACGGCCAGCGACGGCTCCTCCGCCCCGCCTTCCGCCCCCCGCGCCGGCGGAGCATGGGGGAAGAAGAGGGCCCCCGCAAGCGCCGCGCCCTCGCTGCAGACGACGGGGTAGGCCTCCGTCAAGGAACGCAGGAACGCCGTCCGTGGGGCACCGTCGCCGGCGACAGAGGTCGGCAGTTGGGCGTACCACCCCAGCAGCGACGGCGGCGCCGCGTCTGCGGCGGCAGACAACAGGCGGTGCCGCGTCATCGCCGCGCGCCAGCGCCACCAAAACCCGACGGACGACCGCTCCGTGCGGCGCCGCGCCTCCATCACCTGCCTGACGTTCTCCCGCTCCGCCATGACGGCCCGCTGCGCCGCGGGGACCCTCTTTGACCCCGCGGCCTTCTTCTCGGCGGCGGGTGAGGCGGCGCCACCGGCGCGGCGGGCTTGGCCCGCGGAGGGCGCTGCCGGGGCCCCCTCGCCGCCCGCCTCGCCGGTGTTCGCCTGCACGGCCGCGGCGTCCTCGCCGTCGCGCGAGCGGGCCGCGACGAGGTCCGCCGAGGTGCTGCGGAAGAGCGTCTGAGCGAGCACAAACCACAGCCGCATTGCCGGCGGCGGCAGGAGTGCGACCGCCGTCACACGCTCACGCGGGGGAAGCACACCCGCACCGCCACCAGTCCCCCCCGCCCGCCGCCGCCGCCGCCGCCGCGTCGTCTCCGTCCACGCGTAGGCGCCACTCCGCGGTGGCCGCCTCGCCATCCTCGTCAGAGTGAGCAGAAGGCAGACGATTGCCGCCAGGCCTCCCCGCCCCGCCCTCAAGGCCGCCGAGCATTTGCTCGGTCCACGCGGGGGCAAGTGGGTGACCCACAAACTCTTGTGCCGCATCACTACGCTTTACCGCCTCGCGTGTACAGGCCAGCGGGGCCTCGGCGTCGTAGGCGAGTGACAAGATAGCAGCGGTGCTCGGCGCGAGCGATAGCGCGTTGAGGGTGTGACAAATCGTCCCACGCAGCAGCCAACAAAGCGACTGCGACTGTCGCCCACGCGTGCAAATGGCGCCGTCAGCGGCGTCGCACAACTTGTCTAAACGCGGCTGCAGCATCGTGTCAAGAACGTCACGGGCCCGAAGGCAGGCGGCAACAGCCGTGGCGGCCGTTGCCCTTGTTCTCGCGTCGCACGCAGTTGCATACGGACCGCGCGTGAGCAGTGGAGGCAGCTGCTTCAGCTCCAGCAATTCCAAAAACACCGAAAAGAGGATACCTGTGGCCACCTGCTCTAGCAGCAACATTCCTTCTTCGCCATCGGGTCGGGCCACATTTCCACCGCCCAGTGCGGACTCAAATCTAAGCCACATGTCATATGTGTCACAGTCCCCCTGGAGCGCTTTTCCACTAGATACTGCCAAGACGGATGTGATAAATCCACGCAGCAGCTGCTTTGCTTTGCAGACACCGTCGCGGTCACAGAATGCCAGCACCACGGCGTGCAGGAGGACCACGTACGCGTTGCCTGGCTCCAGGCATCGCAGTGCCGCCAGAATATGCACACAGACCTCAAGCCCGTGCGTGGCCAGTGAACTGATCACGCGTACAACGTCGGTGTGATGCTTCCGCTCCTCATCTGCCACGGAACCCGTGCTTTGCTCCTGCAGCGTGGCAGGTGTGGTCTGTGGTGAGGGGGCCGGCGGTGCAGCGACGGCGAGCAGAAATCCCACGGCTAGTTTTAGCTGATGCTGTGCGACGTGGTAACCGATGCACAACGCCTCGCGCGGCGTCGTTGATAAGGCGTCGCTGGGCACCAAAAGTGGGGCGGCGCAGAGGTGGGCGATGCTCGCCACGTTCACCAGCTGCAGAAGATGCAGACTCGTCCAAGTGCCTTGAAGGAGCCCCTGCGCAATGCAGAGGGGACAGCCGGGTGTGAGAAACTCCACGCTGCCAAGTACGGCGGCGGAGTCGTCGGGCTCCGCCGCAGCGGCGCCGGCTGATGCAGCGGGAGCCGCAACAAGCGCGTAGCGCAGACACGACTGAGGCGACGACCGTGACGCCAACGAGGGGTTCTTCCCGCCACCGCTGCGCCGCTGGCAGTGATTAGCGTGCCGCGGGAGACGCGCGTGGTATCGCCCACGCGCCCGTAACGCGTCGAGCAGGGCATCCTCGTCTGCCGCACTCAACCCGTCCCACGCGGAGCCCGCCACGTTCCCCGCGCCGCCGCCGTGACTGCTACTACTCTGACGCCTGCAACTTCCCATGGCGATCCCCACCGCGTCTCGGCTGGGCTGCGGCCACGACGCCAACTCCCGTTTCGCTCCGCCTCTTGCCAGCCCTCCGTACAGGCGCATTTGTTTTTCAAGCTCCAACACACTCACCTCACGCGCCTGCGCGTCCCGCAGCATTTCCCAGAGCCCACATCGCACCTGCTGCTGCTGGCGTGGAAGGAACGAGGCGCACTGGGCGGTTTCCAGAAACTGTGCGAGCTCCACGCTCTGCTGAAGCGCGGACTCCAGCGGGGCGTCAATGTATTTGTAGCAGGCCCATAAAAAGTGCACAAAGCGCCGCGTAAGAGACTCTGTGGGAGGGGACACACCGCCATCCACGGCGACAGCAACATCTGCCGCCGCCACCGAGACGGCCGGGGCCGCTGGCTCTTGCTGAGGTTTCGGTTCTTCCGCACGCTCGGAGTTCCGCACGCCCCGCACTGCGTCGTGCATGAGGTCGCTGCCGCTCTCCCTTCCCCTCCTCCCTAGCGGCCAGCAGCGGCACCTTGTCGCATCGCAAGAGAACGTGAAGAGGGACACAGGCAGCGGAAGTGAATGAATCCAACATGCGTCGCTGGTGGACCTATTCACACACAGGCACACACACACACACACTGCAAGAGAAGCGTCGTCTGCTAGGCAAATACAACTAAAGCACACAACAGCCCCCTCCCACCTCCACCCATGCGCGCACGCTTCCGGAGGGGGGCGGCCACACCCCCTCCCCGTGGGTGCAAGCATAAAAGGTGATTGGGTGCGTGACTGCGAGAGAGCGGGAGTGAGCGTCAAGCGGCAGGGCTCGCCGCCTCTCAACCTCGCACGCTTACACGCACGGAGAGAGGGGAGAGGCGCTTTGTTTGCGGTTGTTGTTTCCTCGAGAAAGGCGGGAGAGGGCCTTCACCCTCAATTTTCTCCTCCTGCCGCTTCTGCAGGAGCCGCGATCCACGGGAGAATCAATGTAAATATATATATATATATAAGCACACACTCTCACAGGGGGTGAACTGCCTGCAGCGAGGGGCAAGCAGACCACAGCACACCGGCCCTGCAGAGGCCCAAGTGCATGCGGCCAGGCAGAACACGGCCGGAGGCCTGTTTTTTTTTTCTTTTCTCACCGCGGCTTCTCTCGTCCACCACCACCAGCAAAACCGCCCTGACGGCTGCGTCTTCCTCCGCCGAGTGGCCGCGTGAGGGCACGCAGGCACCGCCTCCCCCCACAGCAGAGTCGCGCGCGAAGCAAAACGAAACCGGAGGAAGGAAGAAGCCGGTGACTCACGCGGGAGGCGGCGGCGGCGTGCACCGGCCCTCCCCGCCACAGCCACACACACATGCGCACGTGTCGGCACGGGCGTGCCCTGCGTGTGCGTGTGAGAAAAAGCAAAAAAAAAAGGAAGGAAAAGAAAAGAGAGAAGGAGGGCCAAAAAAACAAAAACAAAGATAAATCCAAAATAACGTAAAAAAAACAAACAAACAAAAAAAACGAAGGGAGGGAAGAGGGAAAGCGTAAGTGTGGGAAAATATGTGGCAGCAAGACACATCGTTGCTTGTTTTTTTTTCTTTTCTTTCTGGTTGTTGTTGTTCTTTTTTTGTTTTTAAGCCGCTTCATCGTTCCGCCTCAGCGCCCGCAGCAGGCAAGAAAGAAAGAAAAAAAAATGCGCGAACCGGACACCCTCGGCAGACACAAATGGACACACCGCCAGCTACTCCCCGCCGCACACCACGCCACCCCGAAGTCGCAAGATTGTGTAGCCATCATCAGGGAGGCCGCGGCGCACAGGTGCGCCGCAGTCGGTGAATGTACAATGGGACAGGCGTCCCCGTAGAAAATATTTTCACGAAAAAGTTTTGCATGCCCCACCCCCAGTCCGCGGTAGGAGCGTCGTCCTTTGCCGGCCCAGCCACGGCCGGAACCTCAGCGTCTCCCGCAGTTCCCCCCTCTGCAGGTGTGTCTTTCTCCCCCTTTGCCATGAGGCGGCGCAGCGTGGCGCCGGGCTCGGCGAGGAACGCGCGCTCCGCAGCTTCTTGATTTGTGGCATGCGTGCCGGCAATCGCAGGCCGCAGTGGAACAGCAGTGGCGTCTGCAGCGCCGCCAGGGGAATCCCCCACGTTGTTGGCGGCGGCATCTGATGCAAGCGCCAAGCGACGGTGCACCTTCAGCGGGGGAAAGTTGTGCACCACAAGTTCGCTGCCGCCCTTCAGTAGGTGGTACAAGAGGGGAGGCATCGCCGCCCCGCCGGCCCTGGCAGCAGCGCCCGTCCCGGCCAGTGCGTGCACGGCGGGGTGAATGATTAAGGTGCCGTTTGTCGCAAACGTCGCAGGATGCGTTTTTCCTGTGGCGCGAAAGCACACGTACCACGTGGATTCTATCAGCTCCTGCTTCGTCACCCACTGCCGTCGCGCGTCGCGGAGGGACATGTGGTAGGCAAACTTCCACGAAACCGGCAGCTGCATCGCTTCCTCCTCGGCGTCGTCCACCGCGCCGCCTCCCTGCCGCGAGCTCCCCACAGCCGCGGCGCGGCGCAGCGCCTTTTGCTGGGCGTGCTGCAGCAGGCTGAGGGAGTGGGTCAGGGCCATCTCCTCCGCGAACTCCTCGTACGGGTCGCCGTCCCGCCTCCCGGTCGCCTCGGTGTCGGCGTCGGTGTCGTCGAGGTCGTCAGCGGAGTCCCCCGCGTCTTCTGTTGCTTCTTTTTCAGCGGGAGGCCGCGGGCTCAGCTGGTCGGCGCCCGCCGCCGCACACGCGGAGGGAAGCGAGAGTGGCAGCGATGGGTCACTGGTGCTGCTGCCGGCGCTGTGGCTTAGGGGTGGGCCGAGGCTGCCCGTGCGAAGCCGCCGCCGCCGCGGCGACGCCACGGGTTCACCCGTGAGCGTACGGCTTGTCGTGGTGGTGGTGGTGGTGGTGGTGTTCGCCTCCGCCCCCTCCTCGTCAAGCAGCTGGAGGTGTTGCCGCTGCTGCGCCCGCAGTCGGCGGCGCTGCGAGTCCTGCTGCATGCGATACAACTGCTGCTGCCGCTGCTCCGGGGTCAGCTGCCACCAGTACAGCCTCTCCGCGTGGGCGGCGGTTGTGTCAGCGGGACGCTCCACGAGCGAGACGCCGCGGCGCACCGGCGACACCAACGACGCGCGTAGGTGAGGCGAGTTCGTAGTGTTCATGATGGCATCGTACGTCGGGGTGCTGCGAAGCGAGGCGCGACCCCACAGTTGCTGCGGCGCGCCTCTTGCCCCCGTGGCAACGCTGTCGCCGTCGCTGGCTGTGGTGGCTATGGACGCCGACTCGCTTTTCCCAGCGCACCCAGTCCAGCACGGCGGCGGCGGTGTTGGGGGCGGTGGAGGCGGCGGCGGCGGGTCGTGGTGTGCCCGTTCCCGCGTCGGCTTCTCCCCCGCCTCACTGTCCGTCTCGCCGCCCTGCAGCCTCATCCACTCCTGCGTCGCGGCGGCCGCGGCGGTGGTGGTGTCGCTCGTGTGCGCACCCATCAACATCTGCTGCTGCAGGGAGATGACCTCCAGCTCCTCGCGCCGGCACGCCTCCTCCGCGGCCGCCCACATCTCCGCCACGCCCCCCAGCCCCTGCTTGCCGCGCCAGAGGGAGAAGCAGGCGGCCTTCCAGGCGGTCCGGTCCGACTCACTGGCGGCACGGTAAAAACTCTGCGACACGCCGAGCACCGTGCGCAGGTCCTCCGCCTGAAGAAACGTAAACACGACGTCGAGCACCGACGTCGGGAGACGAGCGACGTCGCACTGACACGCGTGCGGCGGCGTGGCGGCGTGGCACCAGCGCCCTGCCTCGCCGTGGCTCACCCCCGGCATCCCGCAGTCGTGGCCCGCCGGGTGTTGTGCGAGAAAGCGGGAGGTGCGGCAGACCACGGGGGCCGCGGCCTCGCGCTCCCCCGCCCCGCACTCGCTGCGGCGTCTGCACACGCACCTCCCGCCTTGATTACCATCCGTTGCGGAGGCCTCGGCGGCGGGGGCCGCGACACCACAGCCACCGCCGCCGTCCGTGGAGGAAGGCGTACTGACGCCCCCCATGGACTTCCGCTCAGAGTGGTGTCCGTTGTTAGCTCCCTTGCGGTGCACCGGTTTCCAGCTGCCGCGATGCTCCTGCGCGTGGGCGCCTGCTGCTAATAGAAATAAATAAATAGATATCTCAAGGCGTCAATGAACGCGTTCCTTCTTTCTTTAGTATTATTACTTTTCCTTTTTCTTTTTGCGCTCGCCCTTTTTGTTTCCCTTTCCGTCCCCCCGCTTGCGACCTGCTTGCCTTCCTCTTCGAACTCTGCCTTTATTTTTTTTTGTTTGTTTTTGCTTCTTATTTTTTGTTTTATTCTGTTTTTTTTTTGTGCGTGTGTGTTTTCTTCTCGCTTCTCTTCCCCACTTCTTTGGTGGTTTGGTTTACTACTCCCGCCTACAGCGTCACAGGAGGAGGTGATTCCCTCCTGCGCCCTCCTTCCTGTCTCTGCCGCGCGCCTACACGCGCCACGTTGCTCGCTCGCCAAGAGGCAGACCTGGCGGGGCGCGACAGGCAGGCACGGGGGTGGGGGGCAGAAACAACCACAAGCAGAGAGAAGGCGAGAGAGCGAGGGGGAAAAGAAAAGAAAGAAGGAACGAAAAAAAAACTAGCGCCAACGAGCGAGCACACACACACACACACACACCCAGGCACAGACACAGTGACACATACACACACAGAGAGAGGAGAGGTGGATAGATGGATGGGACGGGGGAGGAGTGGGGCAGAGGCACAGCCGTGCATCCACACTTACCCTTTCTCTCTCTTTATGTATATATATATATACTTCTCTCTGTGTGTCGGTGTGTGATTGCGTGTGTGGCGAGGAGGGTGACCGGAGTTGCGCCTCGCACCGCGTTACGCACCGCAATGAGGGTGCACACAGGCACAACACACACGCACACGTCTACTTTACCTGCGCCGGCACGCGTGCGCGGCCGCAACGTTAGCCGGGGAGCTGCGGGGGGGCGTGAGGCGGGCGCACGCACAGGCAAAACCCGCTCCCCACCCCGCCTCACGCCCCCCGCAGCCCCCTCCTCCGCCCACCAAAGAGAAAAAGCAAACACCAAAAGAGAGAGGAAAAACAAAAACAAAAACAAAAGCAAGAAAAACAAAAACGAAATACCTAACCCACCGACACGACTCATCATCGTCCGTGTTTATTTTTTCTCTTCCTCGCTCTTGCGGTGCGGCTTGTCCTTGAATTATGCGCCTTCGCGTTTCTCCCTCCTCGGTACGCTTATGCGTCCCTTGCGTGGGTGCGTGTGGGCGAGTAAAGCACGGCGGGGTGGGGGCGATTGGATGACGACCGCACAGCGAAGCCGGCCGCCCACCCGCGTCGCGGGGAAAGCGAGGCGGAGTCACGTCCGCCGAATCGGGGTGGGGTGGGGGGAGAAGCACCGCCGGCTCCGGCTCCGCACGGATGATGACTGCAGCCACCCACCCAGCCCGCTCCTCGCTCCCCGCGGGGGGGTGTGTGGGTGTACGTACGTGCGCCGCCTGCGTGTGTGTTCGCCCCACAGGGCGGAAGCGGCAACAGCAGCAATCCGACGAAGTCTAACTCCTTCGCCTCTCCCTCTACTTCGGCAATGCGGCGGCCCAGGTAGCCACTTCCCGCACCCACTCCGCTCGCCCCACAGCTCAAACCCGCAACTACTAATCTCCTTGCCTTTATCGTTTATTATCCTTATTGCGGCCCCCGCCGCTTCCCCGTCCCGTGCATCCTTTTTTTTTTTTTCTGCCGGCTCCCTTGCAGCTGCCGCCGGTACTCCCCCAGGACGCCGCCGCGGCGCGCATGCACCTCCTGCCCGGACTCGTTAGTCGTACTTGGCCTGCATGGCGTCGGAGAGCTCATTCAACGCGTCCGTGCGCTTGCGCGCGGCTTTCGCGCTGCCGCCACCGGCCGCCGCCGCCTTCGCCTCCTCCTCGTCCGAGCCCTCGCTGTCCGAGTTCTCGCCGTCCTGGCGTCGTCGCTGGCGTTGCGCCTTGCGTGCCGCCCGCTCCCGCGCGAGGCGGCGCTCCTCCCGCTGCTGCTGCTTCTCCTTCGCCTCCAGCTCCGCCTCGCAGCGGGCGTGCTCGGCCGCGATCTGCGCCGCGACGAAGGCCTCCCGCTCCTCCGGTGTGAGGTGTTGGAGGGTCTCTTGGTACGCCGCCGCCGCCGCCTCGCGCCTGCGGCGCGCCTCCGCCACGCGCTGCTGCACCAGCTTCTCCGCAGCCTCCCGCAGCCGCCGCTTTTTCTCCGCCGTCAGCGCCTCCTCGAGCCCCGCCCACGCCTCCTGCTCCTCGTCGCGGATGGCGACGCGGGGGCCGCCCTCCTGCCGCAGAAGCTCCTCCTTCATCTTCTCCAGCTCCCTCATGCGCCTGTGGCGCTGCTCCGCCTCCCGGCGCCGCGCCTCGGCGGCGTCCTGCTCCTGCCGCCGCTCCTCGGCAGACTTGCCGCGCTCGGCTAAAATGCGGACGATGTCGTCCTCCGACATGCCAAGCCGCCGCATATCGTCCGCGGTCAGCTCCTTCTTGGGCGCATGCTTCTTCTTGGGTGCCATGCCGCCGCGCGTGCGTATGTGAAAAGGGGCAGAGGGCAAACACACTGCCAGCGATAAGAGAGGAGAAAGGATGATGGAGGGAGAAAAACAACAACAACAACAACGGCAAGAAAGACAATTATAAAAAGAAAGGAAAGAAACACCGCCGCACACATTACGCCTAAGAAACGTCCCCCGCCCGCACAGAGCTGGTTTCCTCCTTCTTCTTCGTTGCCACTGCCATATGTGTATGTGTGTCTCCCCCTCCCCTCCCACTCAGCAGGAGTACACGCTCAGTTGCCACTCACGCCACCGGCTGCTGCCTCCTCGGCCAGTTTCATCTCCTGTCCTTGCCGGGCCTCGAAGTCTACAAGAAGGCTGTGGTGCCGCGCAAGCGTCTTCTCCAGCACACACGACTCGTACTGCAACACCACGTCGTAGCAGCGGTGCACCGACGGAAACCGCGGGGTGGGCGGGACGGAGGCAGCGCCTTCGGCAGCGTTGTGCTTGCCGTCGCCGCTACTCTGGGCAGTGACTTCGGCAGGCCGCACCGTGTCCTCGTCGGTGCCGTTGCCTGCGTTGCCCAGAATGCCCTCAAAACACCGCAGCACCGCCGCCCGCGGGACCTCGCACGGCTTGTTGGCAACCTTGAAAGGCGAGGACAGGGCACTGTACATGTGTTCAATGCTAGATTGATTGTGCGCCTCCAGCTTTTTGTACTCGAGCGCCGCCGCCGTCAGCCGCTCCTGCGGCGTGTAGTCGTCCTCCTCAACATCCCTTTTGGAGGGCATCCTCTGCCCCTTTGCCCCACCTTTTTTTTTTGTTTTCTTTCTGTCGTGTAGATAAGTAAATAATATGTATGAAGACCTACGCGGCGCAGAGTAAAACCCCCTCCACCTGAGACGTGCCACACCACAGCGACAGCAGCGGTTTTGGCGGGTGTTGTCAGTTACGCTGACCGCAGATATCCCCCGGCGGTGCCCGCACGAGCAAAACAAAGCAGAGCAGAGGAAAGGAAAGGATAGCAACAACAACAAGAAACGCTGTGCGGAGCAACGTTAGGATAGCGTGAGGTATATGCAATCCCCTCCTCTCTCTCTCTCTCCTTCACACAAACGCACAGCCACACACAGACTATTTTAACATCCACGTGTTATAGTTGTTACTGGCTGTAACGCACTCTGGATTTTTTTTGCTTGCGCCGTTGGTTCCGCAGCTGCGCCGCCTCCTCCCGCGACAGGCGGGGCGCTGGCATGTTATACCGTCCTTGCGGTGGCACGAAGCTGCGAACGTTACCGTAATAGTACGGTATATCGGCGGCGTGTTGGGGTTTGGCAAGCGGACCGCCAAGCAGCGGCGCAGCAGCACCACCTTTGGCACGGCGCAGTGAACGTTGCCTGCGTGTTCCACCCGCCGCATGGACTTCGTCCCTTTGAAGGTGCGGTCGCAGCGACGTCTCTCCCCACAGCTGTGCCTCTTCAACTGCGGCTTGAAAGACGGGATCCAGCAGCGCATGCCGCTTAATCCGCTCCATGCCTTCAAGCGAGGAGTGCAACGCCGCGTCGTGGCGGGCAACGGCGTGCAAAAAACGATTTGAGGGAGAAAGCGCACGGTCCATCATTGCCTCGGTGAGGGAGAGTTGGCAAGGAGGCGCCGTTTCATGCAGGGAATGGGTGGTCTCTGTAGTGAGTCGGTCCCGTGAGCCAGTTTCTGCCTCCACCCGCGTTTCCCCAGTCCCCGCAGTCTCGTTCGCGGAGGCAGTGGCGGTTGACGGTGTCGACAATTTAAGAGTCTGCTTGCTTTCCTCGTAGCGCTCCAAGAGGCGCAGCTCGGGCTCCGAAATGCCCTCATACTGTTTTTCCTGCACCTTCTGCATGACAGGTGCCAGGTCAATGCTGGGGAGCCCCAGAAGCATATTCTCGTACATGGTTGCCGTGAACTCGGGGATTTCACCGACGCCGTTCAATGCCTCAATGTTTGCCTCTATCGGGAGTGAATGGCTCGCTGAAGCCACATCAACCTCCTCGTTACCCGCCACGGCGCCTTCCTCTGGCGGAGCCACACCCTGTGACTTTGCTTCATTGGTCGCCTGCGACCCCGCCTCCACCGCAGGGGCGTCGCTATTCGTATCGACACAGGCCAGCGCTTCGATCGTGTCAAACTCGAGTATACCCCACCTCCACAGTTTTCGTAGGGCCTCGTCAGACATACTTGCCAACGCATTCACCCACGCCATTTGCTTTACCTCCTCCGGGGAGATGTCATCGGCGTCCACGAGGGACGCGTTGCCTTTATGACTTTCCTGAAGCCTCCCGCGTATCGCTTGCGTCTCCCTCTCCACGGACTGCACCAGTGCCTTCACAGCCTCCATCACCTCTTCACGATGCTGGGATCCAATGCGCCCATACACCAACTGCAGGTACCGAAGCGTGTCCTCCTTGTTCGATTTTCTCAACACCTCATCAGCATCCAAGAAGAGTTGCCTTCTAACTACACGATCCTTCGCCCTTACACGTTCCATGACATCCTGCCCCTTACCATAGGCCTCATTCGGCCGGACTTTATCTAGCATCTCGCGCCAGGCGTTATCCACGCTTGTCACTTGCTTCTTGCCGGCAGGAGCCGGACTCTCATGAATAGTCTCCTTGCCTGCTGCGTGCTCCGAACGCATGCGAAGGATTTCCGAGCGAATATCATCTAGCGAATTATCAGGGGCCGCCATCATGCCCCCAGCCCGCAGAGAAGGAACCTCCACTGAAGCAACGGACGCAAACTCTTCCTTCTTACCTCTTCCCCTTTGACGCAGCAATCGCCGCGCTGCCACAACCGTCTGCCCCCAACTCAGCTCTCGATAAGAGAGAAGTATACGTCGCATGGGGCGCCGTCTAGATTTTCTCCTTTATATATATATGTATATCTCCGCCTCTGTAAAGAAGAAGAAGAAGCAAAGAGTAACAACAACTACAACGACAATAACAGCCAAAAAAAAAAAACGCTATTTCGTGTTATTAACGTTACACCAACGCAAATGTATCCGGCGTTGGGAGAGGGCCCCCACCCCCCAGAAGAAGGCGTATTCATTAGAAGGGGGACCAAAACAAAAAAAAACAAAAAATCAGGGAAAGAGAAAGAAACATGGCGTAAGGCGCACGCCACAAAGAGAGAAGCCAAATAAGAAGGAGCCAAAACACATTGTGATAGGAAAACCTCATTAGTGTCAAAACAAGTTTTTTATACTAGGCAGAGGAAGCACGAAACCCCCTCCCCCTTCCCCTCCACACACACACACACAC